GGATGTACGGTACGGAGGCCAAAACATTGGATTGATACATCTGCACCAATCGGTTCCGGTTTGCTTAGCGGTCGTTCTTCCTTCCACTAATTCTAACCCGTGAAGCATTTTGCGGACGGACAGACATACATACATACATAGTTAGTGGTTTATAGAGTAGAAGGATACTTGGATGTCCAAGCGCTGCCTTTACGTGAGGTATTACCTAGAGAGGCTGCATCATGTTCCCCCCTAGTGGACAGTTGTGAAATTTCTGTAAAGGCAAGGAGTGGGAAGTCGATACTGGATGCTAGTTGTTGTAGAATAAGTAGCAGGTAAATAAGTAAATAAGCAATCGAGTAAATACAAATAGGTTAATTTTTGACCCCCATACCCACTCCATTTTCTGTTCACAGCTATTCTCATCAATCTTGAGACAAAATTAGGAATTCTTACAGCAGGTACCACCAACTCGGGGCACAGCTCATTCACTGGTTTTCTCCTTACTTCATCTGGCTTCCCGCTGTCGCCCTTCACACATATTACCCATCCCTCGGGCTGCTCAGGATGCGTTTTGAAAATTTTATCCTTGGCGCACTTCACTTCTGCGCACGCCCCGCCCATTGTGGGCGGAGCCTAGGTTACCTTGTATGTGCTCTGTAAATGTTGGCCCATGCCACATCCATCCCAAGCTTGATCCGTTCCCTAAAAGTGATTTTCCACACAGTCCCCAATTTTTGAGCGGTCGTACAGACAGACATACACACAGACACACATACAACTTCTGGTTTATATATAGAGAGATACCTAGCATGCACTCGACCGACTGGCAACTACTGTCGATATCTCGATGTTCAAAGGCTTCGAGTGCGCCAGTGTCCATTCCTGCTTCACTTTGATTGCTTATCGCATGGAATACTTCCCTAAATTTCAAAAACAGAGTCGTAGGGCTGAAGCCCGAAATAAGTATGCCAGATCGAAGCGATTTCAAGGCAACACGTACCTGATCTCTTTTTCCATAACTCCTTCCTCCAACAACACGTATCGAATCCATGTCCATAAATTTGCAGCTATAAGGTGCATGGTACCGAATCGGGCTATCGGATGATGTCCGGTGATGGATAGCTCAAAGTAGCAAAGGTAACAGTAAGCACTGGTGAATAGGGCAATGGAGCAGTAGCGGAAGGTGATTCTTTGGATAAAACTTTCTTCTGCCCAACTACAAGAATATGAGATTCTGCTGGATTCATCTGCACGCAAAATCTGAGTGTAATGGGCACAGTAACCTCAACCTATTCCCGACGGTCTGCCATCCGGTGGGTACCCAAAATTGGGAACACAGCTACTTCTTTTGGACCTTTTTTCGAACATGACTGCAAATATGTTTTCTGAAAGCGCTGACATGACTATCGGTTCGAGTGGCGGTGGGTACAAATGATTTCGCATTATGCAGCGCTCAAAAGTCATTATGTAGGCGAAGAACGACTTTCAGGGCGGCACATTCGCAGTCTCACGAATGCTCAGGAGCACGGTATTCTATGGTGGTCGGCGTATTCATCTTTGACGCCCACGGGCGCGATAAACCGTGGACGTAAGAGATGAATACGCCGATCACCGTAGAGTACTGCGCTCCTGAGCAAGCCTCATATGACGTATTACCGAATAGACGTCTCTAAGCGTGATCGCAAGGCTTAACATGCCTACTCATACTTAAACCTACACCGACACGCCCACAAATCAGCACTGATCACGTCGCATTGATCAGCAATTGGCCACGATCGGATCGGCTGTTTTAACCACAACCTGCGGCTGAGAACATGAGATTTCTTACAAAATATTTTTTCTTGAGCACAGTGCGAGGTTTCGAAGAATCGCTCACTTCGAAGTTTTGCACTTCTTTTACCTTGTTTGGCTTTTCCTCATTTGGCTTTTTCACTTCATTTCCGGGAATCTCGGACAGCCGCTCTGTGAAGATGACACTGGCATGTCCCTGCTCATATTAAGGATCCCTGTTGATATTGTCGTAAAGTTTGCTACCGCTTGAAGTAACGTGTTTTCATATTTCTTTTGCGGTGCTTTGCAGTGCTTTTGCAGTGCTTTTCCACATTGATCTTTGACCTAGAAATGACTTATCTCAGGCGTAGCCCGTTCACTTCCTGACTGGAGCAGTCAGCCTTATTTCAAGCGTTTTGCCGTTTCGTCCTGTTTTTGCTTTGCTATCACCCTCTTCCGTGCTCTCTCTCCGTTTTCTGCGGGAACCAAATTATCGTGCCCTCTGCCTCTGAGAATTTGCGATCAGGAAACGATTGAGTGCGGGTACCTCATGATAATTCGGAGGTGATTGATGGGCTATATCGTCTTTGCACCTCTTGTTTGTTTTCAGTGGTTTGAATAGAAACGAAAATGCCGGAAGCGAACAAAACTGACCTTCGAGTTGCAGAAAATGAAATGCATCTGGATAAAAATGAAGACGATAGCGCAGATATCGAGAGCTGTTGTGAATGCTGAGCAGCTTCGAGTCAACAACGCATAGAAAAACAAGAAACGAGTAGTAGACTACACCAATGACGCCAAACACTGAAATGGACGATTAACTATTTAGTGCAATCGGTCGTAGATAACAGTTCAATCCTGTTTTACTTACCCACGCAGCCAAATCTAAGGAAAAGGCTCCCAGTCGAGGTACCAGAATGAGTCACTTTCCTCGTGGTGATAACAGTCGAGCACAGTGACGATTCATTAGACTCATGCTTTCCTCGAGAAGTTACTGAAAAGCATCTCATCAGGGACGCAGTGCTGACGCTGCTGCGTTGCGGCTAGGCGAGAAGGCGATGCCGAGCGGGTTTCCGTGCTTCGCCACCTACGCGACACCGGCACGAGGACCTAACTTACTCAACAAGGGAGTGTCACTGTACCTGTATCAAGCGCCGCACCTATATGTCAACGTCAGTGTCGAGACATTCAGCTAGGGGACCCTTATTAGCCTATATGTGTAGCGGTTTTATTTAAGGTTCCTCATCCCCTTATATAACCGTATAGTAAACTCAAATATGAACGTCCACTGTTCTAAGCTGGATCTGACAACAAGAAATTTGTCATAAGTGTCTTCAACAAGTCAGTCTTCAATAAAATACTACACGTAATGGAACAGTCAAACAGATTGTCAGTGAAGCTACCCACTACAGGTATCTCTGAAACGCTGATAGAATGACCAACAGTGTGAAAAGTAGAAGAGCGTGGAGTGCAACGCAGGTTCGCCGTCCAATATTCAACAGTCTGGGTGCAGAAAGTGGGGTTTCCGCGTATGTAGCTGCGAATGCGGTAACCAGAGTCCGACAGGGGAAGCAGACATGTTTATGTACAGCAGAGGAGATTG